CAAACCTTGAAGTTCTGATACTGGACTGCCTACACCACGGGAGGGTGATTCACGAGGCATGCCAGTAATTAACTGTAAATCCTAAAAGTTGGAAATGCCAACAAGAATGAACATGAAACTTAACATTGTACACGCATGTAGTACATGTAAGTGCAGATAAAATTAAATAATCATAAATCAGTTTAGACTTATTAGACTGTTAGACTTACTTATTATCGTTAATCTTAGTTTATTAATAATGATTGACAAAGTAGGATTGTCTGAGTGATGAATATTTGAATGATTCATAATTGAATAATTCATGATTCATACAAATTATTTAATTATTCATGCTTGAATAATCATTTTCTTGATAATTGAAAATATGGACGGTGAACAAATTTGGGAAACAAAATTAATGAATAAATAAAATCTGTAAGTAAAGATAGTTCTGTAACATTCGAATTGCAAGTTTTAGGGATCCTTAAGATTTCCATGCAAGATTGCCTGAAAAATCACAATAAAAAATTCGCATTAAACGTTGTTAAAAGTTGCTTAAAACGAATATGAATTGGGTTTTTAAAACCAATTTTATCCAACTTACGAGAAGCGTCTTTTTGTTTTTGTTACTTTTCGATACGAGGTCCTACTAATAAGTTAAAAACGTTAAATAAAAAATTTATATAAAAATAGATCACTATTTGGGAAAATAACACATGTAAAATATGTTATATGTACAAATTTCTGTGGTATAACATATGAAAATTGTTAACGCTTTTAAGTTGGGTTTATGTTTGCTTTTTCCCTCAAAATTAATTGGTTTGTAAATTTTAAGTGCTATGCATTGTAAATTGTTAATATGTGGAATAAATAAGGCTATTTACTGTCAACACGACAAGATACTTAATGTAACTTTGTACATGTAAAATGCATGTTGCCATACAAATTTCTGTGGTATAACATGAAACTTATTTACGCTTTTAAGTTGGGTTTATGTTCTAAATTGTTAATATGTGGAATAAATAATGCATATTTTCTGTTAACACGACAACATACTTAATGTAACTTTGTACATGTAAAATTCTTTACTTACGAGTATAATTTATATTGATTTAAAAATAATTATTGAAATAAAATCGACTGGTAGATCAAGGGTTGAAATACACATATTTAAAATACCGTTCATAACTTATGACAAACATGTACAACTTCAATAAATTGACTGAATAATTTCTTGTTTTATGAAGTACGGTTGTAAAATTAGCAGGGTTTTCGCACGTTTTAAGCGGGGAACACACACACGATGTAACGCTATGTGACGCTACCCGACGCCTTGTCACGTTTTGATAGGGTGTGCACATCTATGCGACGTCAAGCGCACGCCACATACAGTCACACAGCGTGTACCACAAATCGCAACGCCCCTTTTGTTCTTAATGCATTATTTTGAGAAAAACCATATCATAAATTGTTAGTTAAATTTAATGGTTTTAAATAAAGTTATTCCGGTGTTTTAGTAAATTTTCTTCCTAACCATCGTAATTAAATCAGTTTTATAAAAACATAAATTTTTGATCTTATTTAATTTGGTTTACATTAAAATAGGAATGCTGCAATTAATATAATGACAAAATTACATATACTTAGTTTGAAATAAACTACAAAAATATGAGTGTCCTATTCTGACGCTACTCGACGAAAATGGTGTAATTTTATGAGCAAAACAATGAAATAAATTGTTAGCTAAATTTTACAAGCAAAACCGTGTAATAAAATGTTAGTGAAATTCATTATATCAAAAAATGGTATTCCGGTGTTTTGATCAATTTTCTATCAAACCATTAAAATTTTTTTTTTTAAATAAAAACTAATGAATTTTTGATCTCGGTTAGTTTGGTTTAATTTAAAAAAAAGTATGTTATAATTAATATAACGACAATAATACATGTAGTTTGAATAAAAATATGAGTGTGCGATTATTTTGTCTTCGACTATACTCGATGCTACCCGACGAAAATCTGGACAGTGGGGATCGCAGAGCGTAGAGTAGGGTAGCGTTGCATAGCATCGGGCAGATCTGCACGGGGGGTGATACAATCTAATAGAAAATTGGACTTTGGATTTGCGTCGGGTACCGTCGCATAGCGTTGCATCGGGTAAGTGTGTTCCCGGGCTTTACCCAATTGTTGAAAATTTTGGTTCTCTGAGAATCAGATCTTATTATATAAAATATGCATTGCAACGATTCCAAGGAAGGAAGTTGTACAGTTTCTTCAGACCATGTCAATTCATACTTTATATGTCCGTCCTCGCCTACTATTTCTTAACCGGCTTTTGATATGAAACGTTCCCAAGCCTCTGGCTAAGACATTTTCTTATTTCCTTTTCTGTGTCTTGTAACTTTGTACGGTAAACGCGCATCGGTTTATCCAACGTGTTTTCCTTGACGTTCTAATAGAGACGCGGTTGTGTAAAGGGCTTTTTTCTCACGAGAAATAAACAAAAATGTTGTTATTAAACCCAAGTCCTTCACCCAATACTTGCCAATGATACGAGTTCTCATACTGACTGGTGGGAACCACCGAGGAAATGCCCTATCGCCGTGGAACATTTGCGGTTTCCTCCTTCCTCAATGTATTATCAACGATTATTTTTTCTAATCTCAAATCTAACGCGCAAAATTTCACAATTCGGGAGAGTTGTGTATATGGATATTTTATTTTAATATAAACTAAAAATATTTATAAGATGAAAAGGCGAAAAAATTAATTTTAATTTTTAAGTAAAAACATGTTAACACTCGCGTACGTTATTTCTTCAAATTTCAACGATTGCTTCAAAGAAATTAATTTATTTAATTAATTGTTTGTCCCTAAAATTAACTAATTCCAATCGCTTAAGAGCTGTTTATTGAATTAACATTTGTTATTATTTGGTCGTCAATGTTTCGTTCCCAAATAATCCAATTTCTTACTAAAACACAGTAAGAACGAGCTGACTTGGACGTTAATCTTAACATAATAATTAGGAATTGAGGTGAAAGACCTTTCGAGATTTTATACAGGTCCGTTCTTAGGCATGATCGATTCTTTCGTACATGACCTGGCTCTAGTAACTTCAAGCTCAAGCAGTTCTTATCCACCCCTTATTACCGAATACTAATATCCAACTGACAGATGCTTCAAAATTAGGTGCGGCAATGGGATTATAAAAAACAAGGGAGCATTCTTCTTCTTATTGTACTATTCTTCTTATATGTACTAGTTATACTTTGTGGTCGATACTGCAGTTTTATCTTCTTTCTTCAATATCCAGAAACACCTTGATCGAAGAATGTGGAAAATGTAGAAAATGAAACTAAACGAGAAGAAATGCACCCAAATTACTTTAACTTTAACTAGACTATACGACAACAAGGAATTACCGACATCCAACACAAGTGAAATACTAAAGTCTACATAAACAGCAGACTGATGAAGATTCCAACAGTAATGAAGCGACAAGAAGTGGGGAGAAGGCTTGAACAACTAAAAAGAACTGCTAATGCCAAAATCACTCTACAAAACATTAGACCTATTTCGATATAAGGATCAGAATTGTGGGGTACCATCTAGCCATCAAATATCCAACCCATCCAAGCATTAGACAAAGTCCTCATAAAAATTCTCTAAGCTCACAACTGATCAATTAAAATCCTTAACATTCTCTTCTTTCAAGACTAGATCCGTTACTGCGTCTTGAAGTTCCACGCAAAAATTATCGTCGTTTCTGTTCAAGCCCGCTCTACTCTCAACCCCAGAATCTTGCTTTTCGTCCTACTTCTACTGTATCATTCGGTTTCAGATTTATCATAAATTCTCATTTTGGATCGTATTTTTATGCGAAAAAAATTTGATTAAGCAAATTCTACATTTTGCGTTATACAACCCTGCTAGGACATGGCAGTACAAAAAGTTAATTATTAGTGTGAATTCTATAATCCTAGGGATAATATACTGGTTTGCAGAAGAGAAAAATTTGTAATGGTACAGAAATGTGAGGTCAAGTAAATTTGACAATTTAGTGCTGTCTTTTGGAATCGATTAATATTTCATAATATTTTCATAATATTTTTGGATATAGTTAGCCTTATACGACACTATAGTGCCAATATTGAAATGATGGATGAAAATCAGAGGCACTAATCTGTGTATCAATGTATGTTAAGGATACAAACAACTCAATAAAAAATTCCAAAAATACGTAAAAAGGCAGAGTTGCTAGTTTAATTATTAGAATTTCATCTTGCTTTGACGACCTTTGCAATACTCCATTTCTTAATCTAACCTTCCTTCTTTCATTCTAATCTGCTGACAATTTTGTGAACACTTCCATTTGAGCAACTGACAACTGGGACAAGTCGTAAGTAAAACAATAAACATAAAAAAGTTTATAATTTGATTGTTACTGGTCATTTTTCAATGCTTATCCTCAATGTGTTGGTCTGTCAACGCGTTTATATCCTCTGATGTTTTTTTAGTAATTTTTATGTATCAAATGAGATATTTTTGAATTCCAAGTTTTCTAATTTGTTCATTTTTCGCCCGTTTTGTATATTCTAGTAGTTTCGTGCTTGTCTGTATTGTCGAGGGTTGCTTTTAGTTCGTTGTCTTTCTTTATTTTGTAAGTGCTACGGTTTAAAGTCTATTTGTCACGTATTTTGGTGCTTCAAATTATGGCATACTTGTGCCATAAAAATGTTTGGTTTTAACACCCATGACACATGGAATTATAGCATACTCGTTATACATAACTTTCGGATAATAAAAAATGTATGTAAATTACTCAAAATTCCGTAAACTTAGACAAACTTCTTCTTGTATGGGTGAACTCAAATGAACCACCAGTTCACATTGAAACGATTAGTAATGATAATAATCATTATATTAAGTCTTATGTTGTTGTTAGACTATTTTATATATTTTTTATCCGTCAATCTATGTTAATTAATTGGTGTTCTTTTATATTATATATTATTTCAGAACACCCGCTCGAGTTTCTTCGAGGTCTGCTTGACCAGTGTCTTCTATTCCGATCGGGCCATGCAGAAAGAGCGCCCCTTCTTTTCGAAGATAAGCACATCGACTCAATTTTCCGAGCCATGGACCCTGGGAAGAGCGGCTTCATCACCGTCGAGCAGTATTTAAACGGTGAGTTGAAAAGGGGAAAAAACGCTCAACGCCCACATATCAACCGTACAAAAATTCCGCCACAGGTATGAAGACCATGTTTCTAAAAGAGTTCTCCACCAATCCTGTTGTCGACGAAAAAACCGGCCTGGTCAGCCAGGCGGAGTTCTTCGAAAACGCGTAAGTGTAAAGCAGAGTGGCTCAATCCAAAAACCGGCAATGGCAATTTAATAGGACTTCATTTTCAGAAAGTTGGGCCTTGTTGAAGATCTCCTCGACATGATAATTGTCCCTCCTCCTCCAGAACCACCGGAAGAAGTCGAATTCGTAAGACCATTTGTCTCATTTTTATCCTATTTTAGCTAGAAATGCTCAGAATATATTTAACCTGCAATAATTAGAAAAATACACATCATTCAATTGGAAAAAATGGACAGAAGTCTAGAGAGCTTCATACATCGCGGTATTCCGGAAATTAGGAAATAGCACATTACTTTACAAAAAAAATGAAAGAAAAAAGGGGTTTACGAGTTTTGGTCTTTCCCGACCGTTTATTATGGGTAAGTGCTAATTAAAAGTCGACAAGTTGATTGCTATCTTCCAGTCACGTACCCTCCTACCTGTCTTGCCGAAACATTGTGAGCACAGGTAAGAAGAGAATAGATGTGGGAAAACCTATTAACTCTGTGTCAATTAGTAGAAGAAGGAAATTACCGTGTTGTTTGGTTTCAGGCGGTCTACGACACGGCCCTGCTAGCTCGGCAGAAGCAGATAATGAACGTCGAGTCGGCCCGGCGTTACCTCGAGTCCCTCCTTGAGTGGCAGCAGAAGCAAAAGGTGCAGAAGGAGTGCTTCAACAAACCTCCCGACGGTGGGGAACTACCACCGATCATACCAGAGGAGAAGTTCGGCGAACATTTCAAGCCGCTCAAGACGCTCCAAGACGCGTACAGACCTCCGTCCAATTGATCCTGAAAATGAAAGAAACAATAAACTCTCGAATATGAATCTAATTTGTTTCTATAAACTATAAGGTTTTAAGCCCAGAGCTTATTTTTAAGATATTATTTAGTCCGTCTAATGACAAGCACTTCTGACATGAGAATTGATAGCAGATTTGCAATATTTACTTGTCCCATTACTTAAAAAAACATTATTTAAAAAATCTCATTGACTAAAATCTTGTTTTGTGTTATTTCCTGCATGTAGGTATAGATTATTACATCCATAAGTTACATCCTTTTCAAATCCGTCCCGGAGGACCAACATAATATATTATCTCGACTTCAGCGGAAAATGATGAGATAACTGATTAATCCTTCAATTCTTCTTAGAGGTTCGGAAGCGATAATGCAAAAACGAAACCCTTTTTTTGGGTTATCTAGCAGTACGAAAATCTGCTTAAAAGTTATAGTACGCCAGCTCTAATACGGCCCCCAGAAATTCTTCTTATTTAAGAAATATCATGGTAATTTGTCACTCTTCGAGACAATCATGTTGTTAAGTCGTTAAACAGCTTTGGTTCGCCAAAACCTCCTGAAATACGAGTGCAAGGTTTCCTTAAAACATTTTTTGTTTGGTTTTTCAGTAAAGAATTCAATACTGACTCGTCAAATTTCCATGACCTACATCGAAAACAGTCGATGGCCAATGTTATAAATATCAATAAGTCCACTCGTCCCAATCCGGCCCGGAGGACCAAACAATGTAAAATCTTAGTATCTAATATTGTACTTGTCGTTATAGTCCCACAGACGCCTGGTGTCGAGGTGTAGTCCAAAGTATCTGGATTGAATGTACAATGGAGGGCAAGACCGTTTTTTCCATGGAAATGTACACTGTGAACATTTTTCCTCATTCAGTCTTGTCTTCAATTTTTTACAGTCTTTGATAAGACTTGATGAAGAGTCAGAAGGATGAATTATATACAAGATGGGATCCAAATTGCACCCTTGTGGGACATCGGCTCGTATTGGTATATTATCTAATTGTAAGTACTCCTTGCCACACTTCACTCAAGCAGCATTAAGTTAAATAGGATTCAAGGAAAAGGTAAAGATATGGGTAGGAAGCGTTTGTGTTTATTTACGATGCCTCGGTGCCAGATCCAGAGGTTTGTGAGGTACGTGGAATATTATAAATATTAATAAGAACTCTTTTTCATATCCTGCCCGGAGGACTAAAATAATTTTTTATGAATTTCAGCTAAGCTTCAATTTCAAATTATAAGACTAATAATGAATAACCTTGTTTTGCATGTTGGAACAAAAAAATAGGAGAAGACAAAATATTGTCTTCCTAATAAATCCAAAAAAGAAGTAACACATGGTCGGTGTTCAAGAAAATGTACGAGGTGTTCTGTGTGAATCGTGTTTATGTGGGAAGAAAAACCACAAAAGACGGATCCTTATCGGCAAATTGGCCTCCAAATCAAATCATGCGTAAATATTACTCTTGGTAACTAATAGTGTAATTAAACTTGTGGTGAAATGGGGTGGTTTGTGAGCCGGTGTACCTTCGACGATAATTTGAAATTGACCGTACCGAGATGAATTTTGACCGCGTAACAAGAATGAATTCTGTAATATGTTTTTAAATCTTCTCAGAGTTCAAAAGAATCGAGCATCTTTCGTAAGTCGACTCAATATCTTCTTTGTTTACAAATGCACAGAAGAATGGTTTGGAAATCTGAGTAGGTAAGTCCTTCAAAAGGCTGGGCTGCTAGTTCTTTTCACGGGGCAATTATCGACGAGTGTCGGCTCGGACGTCGTTGATCCTATTGCTGTATCACCTCTCTCAATGCCCCTATCAACCCATCAGGCCCGGGGCCATGCCTACTAAGTGGATGTCCGTCCGTTACTGCAGAGTCATCCGGGGCCCTGGCTAAATATTCTAATATTATAATGGGGAGCCTGTATTTGCTCGGCTCCTTAATGGGTTTCGTCTCTCGAAAAAAAAATCTTTGGACCCGATTGAATTTTCAGGTTTTCGTTCCCACTCGAGTTTAAAAAGAAAAAAATAGATAACTTAGAAAGTAGATATATATTTATGTAGGGTTGAAGTACTTCAAATTTGGCTGTTTTTACCCCCCCCCCCCAATTACAGTTGTAACACTGAGAGTGACAAAGTTGGCACCTGGACAAAACTTTAATAAGCCAGTCACCACACTACCTTTATATGATGTTGAAGAAAAAACAGTGTACAATTTGTCTCCGAACGCACTATCAGGGTTTCGTTTTAAAAAAGAAAAATTTAAATTGGTTTACCCATACAAAAGCATCCCTTCTGAAGTTAAATTCCATAAAATCTCCTGGACTTTATTCAATTATCTCTACTATACTTCCAAACAATCCTTTACTTTCCTCTCTTATGGAGTTATTCCGTCGTCATTATCATTCTTGAAGCTCACAATCCCCCAGCAACATATCCTTCCTATAGACCCAACCTTCCAGCTATGTCCAAAATCCTCGAAACACTCCTTTCAGAATGTACCTATAACTAGGTAAAATCATTCCTCATCACCAATTCAGCTTCCCTCCCTATTATTCGACGGTCCAGGAAGTTTTCAGATTTGTTGACACAATTTCTTCCCCTAAGAAGAACAAAGAGTATTGCCTGGGATGTGGCTTAGACTTTTGATAGGGGCATCAAGGCATTATGTAACCTTAAACGTTACCTTCTTATTACCCCTGGCATTTAACTGACCGCTGCTTCAGAGTTAGATACAGTTAGGAGTTCTCTCAGAAACTAGACCAATACAAGCTAGTGTCCCACAAGGGTGCATATTAGGTCCCATTGTGTATATAATTTATTCTTCTGACTTTTTTTCAGTCAACAATGAAATTTTTTCATTCAATTCTGAACTGAAAAAGACAATCAAATAATGTTTTTGTAACGCTACATAACCCAATAAAAAGGGGTTGGTTTTCGCATTTTCGCTTCCGTACCTCTAAAATAAATAAAGGGTTATCCATTCATCTCGTCATTTTCCGATGATGTTAACCAACATAAAATATTATTTTGGTCCTCCGGGCCGGATTTGAACCAATTATCTAACAACAGATATTTTATCACAAGATCCCAACCAATGAAATTTCCATATTTTGAAACATTGGGTTGGCTTAAAACTGTAAGTTTTTGACATTAAAAAAAAAAGTTTGATATCACACAAGTTATTAACATTGAGTAGCCTATATCTTTCTTGATTGGCCCGACCTAGAGGAACAAATATGATAATGCTACTAATTGAGAACTGCCTTGCACAACTAGCAACAATTTATTTACCAATTAACTAATCAAAAACTTTCATCTAAGCCGTCAATTAAAATGATTAGAATTAAATATTTTTAAATACAAGGAAGCATGATGATTCTAACAAAAACATATTGTGGTTATTTTATATATTATTATGTGTGGAGTTTAGTGACCGTTAGTTAATGATTATTTAGAGATCGTGAGATGTGGTCTGGTGTGACGTAGGTTTTAGAGCAACATTTTCTTTATCGTGCCAACGTTTCGATCTTTATTGAGATCATCTTCAGGGCTCAAAGTGTTTGTTTTCTGTGTAGATGTGTCATTGAGGGTATGACACATCAATGACACATCTACACAGAAAACAAACACTTTGAGCCCTGAAGATGATCTCAATAAATATCGAAACGTTGGCACGATAAAGAAATGTTTTTCTAAAACCTACGTCACACCAGACCGCATTTCACGATCACCAAATAATCAACACATTAATATTGTAATTGTTATTATTTTTGATAATTAAAACGGAGTTAACTTTATGTCAAACAGTATTTCAAATTGTTTCTAATGTTGGAAAAATAAGAGGGTTCAGCGTTTAAACTATTTCTGTGGGAATCACAGATCGACGGGTGATAAAGATGCGATAGGCAGATGTTTCTCGTACAAATAATATCGTGGCGTGTGTAGACGTGGGGAAGGAGGTTCCCGTGGGATATCCGATGCGCACGTAGGTGCCACACGACACGTGTGCGACATGCGCCCGGCTAATTGACGCAAACGTCCAACGGGTAAACACAAATTGTGCGCTTAGTTTGCAAAGGCAGAAATTTTTGTGTGAAAATGAACTATTTTACAAAAAAAAAAAATCCATTAACGCCGGTAAAACATTACATACTCTCAATATTGCCGTGTCTTGACCAACTCGAATTTGATATCTGAATATTCTGGCTTATTTTTATATCGGTTAGAAATAGACCCGTTTTATACAGGTTGTTCCTAGACGGCCGATATCTCCTAGTCCCGTTGACTCTTCCTCCTGGGCGTCGCCGAGGGCATGAAAGACTCGCCGCCTTCAGGTCGGCCAGGTTCTTCACCTTGAAACTCATATCAAGCCATTGTTTGCGGCTGAAACAATGAACGATCCGAGAATGGAAAAAAGAGAGTGACTGAGAGACAAAAGAATATTGCAACCGAAGACGTTGATTAAAAAAGACAATGTGCACACTGTCATTTCTAATACCTTCCGTTCCAATCTATTCATAGAGCCATTGTTTCAAACATAACGCATTTTTCACTTTGACCTTTATTTTGTTCAACTTCTCTCAATTGTAGCAGGTATGTGATTCTGTTTGGAAAATATTTAAAGTAGATTACAGGAAATTTCTGGTCCGAGGTTATTTATATGAGCTTTTCGCTTAACCCAAAAATAGTTGTATTTAAATAAGCTGGACTTGATCTGAATCATTACGACTAACAAGGTAGATAAATAAAGGCGGCAGATGCCAGAATCGGATCGTAATCCGATTGCTGAATTCTAGTAGTACTGGGAAACGGAGATTTCCTGCCACCTCTTTCCTCATTTCCATCCTGAAATGCAACTGTTTATCTTCTTAACAATCCGTTAACAACGGGCACTCCCTCGCGATTAATTTGGTGCTCTTCCTACGATTCTTTGTCAAATACGTGAGTCGCTTCACGATTGTGCTCGTACGACCTCAAATGGCGCTTTGTCTTGGGGCCTTTGAAAAAAAGTCCCT